CCATTGTTTCGTATCTAGTAGTTTAAACTTTTATTGGAATGTTTATACTCAGATAAAAAAAATTATGAGCCGTTATAATGTATAAAAAGATTAAATGCAGTGTCTGAAAGAATAAAATTACGCGACGGGTGTAAAATTCAGTGAAATCATTGAAGAATCATTAAAATATGACAGAGAAATAACTGTAAAATGCGTAGTGTTCTGTGAATGTGCGATAATGTGCATGCAAATCTGTAGGGTTCTGTGACTATATGAGAATGCACATGCAAATCCCAGTAGCGTAACTCTATAAGCTGTCACAAGTCATATTGATAAAACTTTACTGATAATGCATTATTATTATTATTATTATTACTAATTTATTTTATTTTAAATATTTGCCTCTGTCCTTCTTCGCTATTATGTATCTCTGCTGCTGTTGTTCTTTTTCTTTGTTTTTGTTCATAGAATCACGATTACGACTCTCCTCCTTTTCCTTTTTCCTTTTACAACTTGTGTTATTGTTGTAATGTTTTCCCTCTAATGAGTCTATTATGGACTCTTCCACTTACTATAAAGTTAGTAGGAAAAGTATGTCTCGGCGGAACTGTGATATAGACCGTTCGACTGTCACACTTTCTGCTTCGGCAGAGAGGAACCCGGACGGCGCTTTGCCGAAGGGCAAAGTTTCGTCCGGGGAGATAGACAGGCCCTGAATCCGTTTACACGGGTTCGAAGGGAATATTTTTGGCCGAGCCTACGGGCTCGGTAAACCCAGGATAAACTCGGCCCTGTGCAACATACGACCCACGTCGGGGTGGGGGTGTTAAATATAACGATGATATAGACTGTTCAACTGTCGAACTCACTGCCTCGAGCAGAGAGGAACCCGGACGAGGCTTTGCTGAAGGGCAAAGCTTCGTCCGGGGAGGTAGACAGATCCTGAACACGTTTATACGCTTTCGAAGGGAATATTTTTGGCCGAGCCTACGGGTTCGGAGAACCCACAATAAACTCGGCTTTGTGCCTCATACGACCCACGTGGGGGGGGGGGCGTTAAATATAACGGTGATATAGACTGATCTACTGAGGCTGTTCCCAGCTCCTGTCTAACTCTTTGCTTTTGGCAGAGAGGAACCCGGACGAGGCTGTGCCGAAGGGCAGAGTTTCGTCCGGGGAATTCAACTGACCCGAACCCGTTTATGCGGGTTCTACGGGGATTTTTTGGCCGAGCCTACGGGCTCGGATGACTCACGTTAAACTCGGCCTTGTGCCACATATATCCCTCGTGGGGGCTTGCTGTTAAATATCAACACTGACATAGACTGAACGCTGGTCAATCAATACACACTCCCAAGTCGTGTAACACAATTCTGTTGTATTTACTGTTCAATACACTATTTATCTGCAACCTCTTGTTTTGTTATTCCTTAACCAATTACTTGGTCACAACAGTTATTTTAGAACTACTTAAATACAGTGGTCCTAGCGGAAAAATAGGGAACCTTTCTCTGGGGAATAAGTCTTGCAGATTAGCATTCATTAAACTTTGCTCAAACCACATTTCTCAGAATCGAAACATTGATTTGCTTATCGATTAAGAAGGGGTTCTATTTATAATGTTGATACTGTATAAAATCGATTCCTGACTTTTTTAGATTTATTGAATTCAGTATTTATTTACAAATGTCAAGTTTGAAACTCCGCTTACATCATTGATATTTAAATATTTTTATTTTTTTTTTTTAAATTTTGAAATACTTTTAAAAGCATTTTGATGGTGGGGATATTTTTTCCAAGCATTCATGAGTAATAATTATTTATCTTAATTAAAGAATAAATGTATATATATTTTATTAATTTATGTAAATCTTTGTTCTTTAATACAGTAGAATGTCTGACAACCGGACTAAGAAGCCCTTCTAGATATGAGGAATTGGTTACAAAGTCCGGATATGAGGGGTTATATTTAGATTAAAATAAAAGAACTGAAAAAAGGTTTAACATTTGTTTTCAGTGTAAACAAAATAAGCTAATGGTGAGTGAAATATAACGGAATTGATTTTAATGGAATAGAAATAAATTATATAATGTTAATGAAAATTCATTAATTTGAGTGTGCAAAACAAATAATGTAACGAGGATTTTTTAATCGCTGTTTCATGATGATTCTTTCTCTTCTAATGTCATTCTCAACTTTTTCCGCCTTTTTTCCTTTTGTTCTTGAATTTTTTTAAATAAAAGACACTTTGTTTAATTCTGCATGCATTATTGCAATCATCATAGCTGAATGCTAGCTTTCCTTCCATAAAACTGACATCTTTTTAATAGTTTTTTTTCAATTTCAGTCCAGATTTCATCACAATCATGTTTTTTTTTTCCTTGCTCATTGTGACAGTATAAATGCTGGAGAATAGATTTTATATCATACAATGTTAACTTTCCTATGTTGAACTCGGCCATTAGTTACAAATACCACTTTTTGCTATAAGTTCAAATTTGTACTTTTCCTCTTATTCTCATCATCTTTTGCACAAGCCATTAGGGTGAAATAAGCAATTATCCAAAGTATATTTCCTGATATAAAGAAATTTCAAATCAGTTGCATATCACCCAAATAGTTCAAATATACACATCAAAATTATGTCCGGATATGGGGGATTCCGGATATGAGGCACTCAGGATCTGAGGGATTCCGGATATAAGGGATTCTACTGTAGTAAAAAAATAAATACAAATATTTGAATCCGTTTGTTCTTTATTTAAAATAAATCTCTTTGAAAAATATTTTCATTTATGACAAATCTCGTGGCTTGAGAAAGATCTAATTAATGCTACTCTACAAAATTTGTTTATTTTTTTAAATCTCCTAATTTTTACGATTGAAACTTATCTAAATAGTGTTATTATTTTTTATTTATTTACCTTCTTTTGCCTTCTTCTTAATAATTATACCAGCACAATTGTTCTTATCTTCTCGGTTTTATTGAATAATTGGCCAATTTCGAACAGCCGTTTGGGTTCTATACTCAAAGGAGCAACAGACATTTATCTGTCGTTATTAGCAGCGGCGAACAATTTGAATGAGAGGAAACAGAATCTTAGTGTGCGTGTCAATCTTGTCCAGCAAATTGTTTATTAATGTAAACGTGGGAGAGAAATAACGGCCGAAAGCGACTGACAAATTACACAATTCCGAATTCTTATTGAGCGAGAAAGCAGCACGCCAACAAAATGTCTCTGTGGTACAGACATACAAAATCCATATGCCGATCATTTCAGCCAATTTGATAAATGTATACCGGATACATGAAGCACAGCCAAATATGCGCGATATGTTGACAGATTTTAACAAAATGAGAGAATAACCTGAGGCAGGTAGAGGACCCATTAGAAATTGCTTTCAGATTGAGTAGTCCAGTCTGCTCTGACGGTCACGGAATTAAAGCGTTTCTCAATACAATTCCAAAATCGCCTTTGCTGACTCATCTGCCCTGGGCATGATGCTCACCTATTCGTCCCGCTGGTGAACGTAGATGCATGTCAAGATGTCAGCTCTTGAGGGGTGGTACCCAAATAGTTATGGTTAAGGAACTAATAAGCAAATATCTGGTACAAAACGTCTTCGTCCTCCAAGATAAAAAATGTACGCCTCCATCCTATTAAGATTAGAAACCATGGGAGCTATGTCTGATATAAAACAAGGGCACTTATCTTCTTCTTCTTCTTCTTCTTCTTCTTCTTCTTCTTCTTCATCATCATCATCATCTCATTATTATTATTATTATTATTATTATTATTATTATTATTATTTCCTTTGATTTCTGTTGTATGCACATTACCTTACGGTTCCCAACCAGAGATCAAAGGTCAGAAATGGCTTCATGACATTTTCCACTGATCATGTTTGTAAAATGAACAAGATAAATCCCATCGTAATTTGGAAGCTGTACTTGTGAATACAATCTTTTTTTTATTTCTTTAAGGCATGGACTAACAGGAGTCCCTTCAAACAATCCGAGTGCTCCAACTACAACTGGAATTATTAATGTTATGTGCCGCACTTTCGAGATTTCCACATCCTTGTATTTTGATAGTTTTTTTTTAAGATCTTCAAGTATACATTACAATCTCCCAAAAGTGCCATGTCACTAAGAAAGCAGATTCTGTTTTTGTGGTCTTTGATCACGATGTCTGGGCGATTAGCTTTGATTGTTCTCTCTTTGTCTATTGTAAAGCTGCATGAAACTGATACAGGCTCTATTTCTATAAACGGACCTGAATGATATTCATACCAGTCTCATACAGTTTCCTTCCCGTAAACATCGCATATTTTCAAGTACAGATATTGACCCACTCTATCATGCCGAGTCTTATATTGTGTGGGTGCAACCTAATACAAGATGATCAGTTATTTCTAGATATTTATCACAGAATCTGCTTTTCAGGTGTTATGGTCCGGTTCCTTGTACCACGGTGATAGTCCAAGGTAGAACCAATAAAGAAGAAAACGAATACGGATATGGAATAACACAGATATATTACAAACAGGAATATATACAGAGAAGAAGAAAGTGTTAGTACGAACAATCAGGTTTAGTAGTAATTGTCTGAATGCGACTCTGTTTCGGACTGCCTCTGACTCTACTGACTGACTCCTGACGGACTTCACTGCAAACTTCAGACGGAACTCTCTGCTACCTCTTGAGGCGCAGTATGTATTACATATGGAATAGTCCATTATGTTATTATGGGTAAGGTCCCATAACATCAGGTTAACACAATTTTTCAGTATGTGTGTTTGGTAATTTGTAGTTAGCAAGCATTAGTCCTGTGCAGCAAGAATCAAACCTTCGGTTTCAGCTTATTGCATTTGATTTTGCTTTCATTTTTAGGTTCTTTGCCGCTGCACTTGGTGTATTACGGTTTATTTGCACTCCTTTACCCCCTTGAAATTCTCTTTTGAATTTGTTGTCTTCCTTTAGGTCTAATTGTGATAACAAGCGAAAAAATATATTCAGATTTGCCTTAATCTCTCCAACATGAAAAATCGTATAAATTATCTCTCTCTCTCTCTCTCTCTCTCTCTCTCTCTCTCTCTCTCTCTCTCTCTCTCTCTCTCTCTCGTGGTTTGTAACACATTACTTATAATGTCTCAGCTGCGTCTCTGTCCTTGGGCAATGAGGAAAATTATTCCGGCCCTGGGGAACAGCTGCCCGAGGCCGCGCCCTCTCATTGCATTAGAGAGAGGGATCAGTGCAGGCACTGAGGCCAGCACAACCGACGGTTTCGGGGGCTTGGGAATGTTTGTTCCTAGCCCGGGTGTACGCACTCGGGCTCCCCACATTAAACCGACCTTGTGACACAACCTGCTCTCGTTGGGTGAGTAAATATAATTCTTTCCTACATGAAAAACTAAAATAGCTTGGGAAATTTCTATAGTTTCTTGATTCTAGACTTATTTTTCATTCTTATTGCGAGCTTCTGGCACTATTCCACCTCCGTAGCTGCAAAGAAACGGTGTGTCAAATGAACAGTTTTTCTCTTGAAACCACCCTTACTCTATACCCTCTCGTCTCCCTCGGCAATATTTAGAATGTTAATAGCACAAAAATTATATGCGTATATTTCTGAGATGATGTATTGTAATTATTTACAAAATTTACACTGTTGAAACTGTTGTACTAATCATCTTTGCCATTTTCATGACTTTTCGGCCGTTGTACGCCTCGGCCTTCTTCAGGTGATTGGAATTTCAAACTGAACCCTTTATTTCGTCCACCGGGATACTTCTACTTCTATATGTCATGTCACTTTCATACTGTCTCCCTTTAACTAAATTCATTTTTTTGTTCACATCAACTGTAGCCAGTTATTGAACTCACAACTCTTTAGATCAAGTCTAAAGGGTTCAGTTAGAAATTCCAATTACCATTTATAACAATTTTCTCTTACTTAAAGTATATAATATCTACTTTTGGGACAATTTTAAAAAATTACTATGGGTGCCTCCAAACGTTTGAATTGTAATATATATATATATATATATATATATATATATATATATATATATATATATATATATATATATATATATATATATATATATATATATATATATATATATATATATATATATATATATATATATATATATAAGTTGTCGAATAATGACGTAATAATGTCGTTTTTGACGTTAAAATACATCAAAAAACGACATTATTACGTCATTATTTTGCGTTAAATATATATATATATATATATATATATATATATATATATGAAAATGCTAGTGTGTAATATCAAACAACTCAAAAGGTTATGATCGAGGCCTAATTTCCCCTTAGCAAAAACATAATTTTATTCATAATTTGTCATAAAATGACAAGTCAAAATTAAGCAATCACAAGCAGAAGGTGTAGTTCTATGAAAACTAAGTCTGAGGTGACAATGCCTCTACAGCCAGATTTTTCTCTTTTCATATTGGGATCAAATTTGCTGGCGTCGCCGATTGCTTTGATCAAGGAGGTTAGTGCCTATCATTCATTTAATATTTCTTCATCAGTCATCACTTGGCTAACAATAAATTATTTCTATTGTAGACAAGCATACTTTACGTAAATCTTTAGAAAAATTTGCAACGGTTTAAAAGAAAACATTTTCAAAATTACGTTTTACAAAAAATAGCAGGAAATCTATAATTGCTGAAGTTTCAGGCCTTTTTGAATTTTTCTATTGATTCCGCTTATAACAAAATTTGAAAATTGAAACAATACGTATTCGTGACTGCTATTAGTTAAGTGCTTGATAATTCAGAGTATACCTTTTAAAAAAACATGACAGTGATGTTAATCACGACGTTAGATAAATCTACAAAAATGTATAACATGAATAGAAAGAATAAAGTTTTGCCTAGGGACTTTGTGTTCAACCTTTATTCTAGAATTGACTCTAAAATCAGGGTTAATATTAATTAAATTTGGAGAGGAAAAAACGTAACAATATAATTAACAGGAAATGTTTTTCGAAGACATTCTAACCACATTGCAGAATTTAGGATAGAGTTTTGGGAGTAAAATCGTGCTGAAGTTTAAAAGAAAAATATATTCTCACAGATTCAATAGGCGAGTCAGAAAGTTTTTTTTGTTTTGTTTTGGGTTCTTTTTCTCATTGAAATTCTCTCTTTGAAAAACGTCCTGTCTGTCCATCTCATTAAAGATGGCTGTCTATCTCATTAAAGAAAAACAAACATTGCTTTGAGCAAATAAAAAATCGTGTACGCCTCTCTTTCCTTAATGTGACTAGGTATAAATGAAGAAAAACAAAAGCTAAAATACCGAGTCCTTGCCCTCGAAGAACTTTTATTTCCATTAAATTCGATTCGTTTTAAATTATCTCTGCAAAGTTTAACTTTCGTATACACAAAAAAAAAACTATGAATCAAAAAGTCGATCTTTCTCCTGATACCAGAATTACTGCATATTCCAGCGACTCACTCGGTAATGTTTCTTTTTTAATGCTGTGGTTAGAATTCTAATAACAACAAAAATATTACACACTAGCTTTTAGATCAGCTATAATGAACTTTTAATTTGGATTGTGTCATATAGGAAGAAAATGAGTGACTACCGACACCAAGGTTCGAGCGTGACACTTTGGACTTATGAATATATGTGTTCCACCAGGCGTATAAATTTCGGTGTCAGTCTACTGACTGGAGTGAGTATTGAGTGATTATTGAGTGGAACTATCCAGTCGAATTAGTGTGAATTTCTGTGCATCGACGATTTAGGTTTTGATTTAGGATTTAACTACCGGCCTCAAGGTTCGTACGTGGCACTTTGGACTTATGGATATATGTTTTCCGCTAAGTATATAAATAGCGGTGTGATGCTACTGACTTCAGTGATTATTGAGTATTGAGTGGAACTATCCAGTTGAATTAGTGTGAATTATTTGTGCATCGATGATTTGGGTTTTGATTTAGAATTTACCGGACGTTAAGACGAGCCGTGCTACTAACAAGGTATTCACTGAAATGGTTATCTTTGGTTTACTTACTTCTTTCTTCTAGTTAAGTATTTATTTGCGGTTTTAATTAAATATTGTTTTATCTTAACATTGAATTCTTGAGTTATACTTAATCATTAACGGCCACCATACGCCACAAAAAGTTTCAATCGCGTATTGTTTTACTAGTGGATAATCGGACTTATAATAAGTTAAAACCTAATCACTTTATTCTCTTCTCCCAAGTTAACAACCTTCTGCCTCTTTACTAACTAAAGTGCATGTGGAGGTTTTTTTCCCCGCCTGTGCATGTATGTAAGTTTTTCACATATTAAGGAAATGAGTAACCGCCGACGCGGAGGTTCGATCGCGACACTCTGGATTTATGAATATATGTTTTCCGCCAAGTGTATAAATAGCGGTGTCAGGCTACTGACTGCAGTGATTATTGAGTGATCATTGAATGGAACTGCCCAGTCGGATTAGTGTGAATTATGTCGAAGTTTTGGGTTTTGATTTAGGATTTACCGGATGTTAAGTTTAGCTGCTTCTAACAAGGTATTCACTGAAATAGTTAATTATGATTTGGCTAACTTTTACTTCTTTGTTCTTGTTAAGTATTTATTTGCGGTTGTAATTAAATATTGTCTTATCTTAAAAGTCTTGAGTTATAATTAATTGTTAACGGTCGCTGTACACAAAAGAGATGAAAACTGGACGCACTACAATCATTTGAAGTGTGAAAAATCATGGGTTGGTCCAGGACATCATGCAGAATCAGCAGTAAACTACTGACTGCGGTGATAATTGAGTGTAACTTTCCAGGCGAATTAGTGTGAATTATTGTGCGTCGGCCTCCGTACATCACAAAATATTGTTAATTATCAGGTCCCTTGTTGTTGAAAGCTAATTATATACTACAGTACATGTGCTTATTCGCTAAACGGTGCACTATATAATATATGATAGGTAACACATATATCTAGATTTATTCACGATAATAATTATATCTATATTGATAGAAAGATGAAAGAAGTGATGAACTCTGTATGTGGAGAAAAGATATCATACCGTTTCCCACTGAATATGCACTAGCGAGCCGCCAAACATCGCTTCTGTTTAGTCATTTTCAATATTAATTAAAGAAATTTGCTATGCCTCGAGATCCACCATGTTCCACAATATGTGGGCTTGTATGCAAGTCACTAACAGGAGTGAAGTTTCACATACGGTAAAAAACTAAAAACTGAATGAGGTTGTTAAATCCTCATACGTCGAAACGACGGCTGCATACTTCATATATATATATATATATATATATATATATGATTATTTTCTTTTTAGAAATATGATTCCATCGCGACACAACAAATTTACATATTTCAAAACTTAAATAAAATTTGTAAATTTAATTATAAAAATAAACTTAAAATCGATAGTCTCGTTCCATTGTCAAGCGAAGTTGGGAATAAAAATATTTTATATATATATATATATATATATATATATATATATATATATATATATATATTAGGTTGGTGCAAAAATAATGACGCAATAATGTCGTTTTTTTGATGTATTTTTAACGTCAAAAAAACGACATTATTACATCATTATTTTTGCACCAACGTAATATATATATATATATATATATATATATATATATATATATATATATATATATATATATATATATATATATATATATATATATATATATATATATTAGGTTGTCACAGATGAAATGGCGCATTTATTGGTTGGTTTTTGATCCGGTTTCTAATTAAGTCACCTGCTCAGTATATAAATAAAACTTGTTTTATTCCTGACTTTTTTCTTTCCAGATATTTTTCTTTCAATGTATTCAATATTTTCCTTTGATACATTCAATATTTTTTCTTTCGATATAGTCAATATTTTCTTTCAATATATTCAATATTTTTTTCAAAATTTTCTTTCAGTCTATTCAATATATTCAATATTTTCTTTCAATATATTCAATATTTTTCTTTCAATGTATTCAATATTTTCTTTCAACATATTCAATATTTTGCTTTCCATATATATATATATATATATATATATATATATATATATAAACTCAGTAAAGCCCAATGAAAATGATTAAAATCAAACAATATCAAGCAATCTTACTGTATGAGTCGAAACTGGGTCATTCTGTCTCTGAAGCATTTCGGAATATCTAGACGGTCTTTGGTAATCGTATTGTTGAAATCAGAACTGTACAGCGATGGCTTCAGAAGTTTTGCTCGGAAGATTACAGTTTCGAAAATAAACCAATGGAAAGACTATGATCACTTACAGACATGATCAACTGAATGTTTTGGTTAATCAAGATTCGAGAACTACAGTCCGAAAACTTGCACCAGGACTCGAAACATCTCGCACAACTGTTTCTCGCCACTTGAAAGCAAAGCAATAGGAAAATTATAGAAACCGGATACATTTGTTCCGCATGAACTGAAACAAAAACCGTCGCTTTCAGCTGAAAGCAATCTCTGTTGCTTTCCCGACCAGAAAAAGAATCACTTTTGTATGGAATCATTACTTATGCGATGAGAAATGGATACTCTTTGACAACAATAAGAGAGTAAGCCAGTCGTTAGATGTAAGTGAATCACCAAAACAATACCCCAAACCTCTATTGTACCCTAAAAAGTTAATGGTTACTGTACGGTGGCCTTTCAAAGGGGTTATTCGTTATTCATTCTTGCATCAAGTTAAAATACTAACAGCAACCTCCTTCTTAACTCTTCAATAAAATACCATTCTGTTTTCAAATTTAAATCATTTTCATCAAAAGTTACCTAACATCGCTTGAAAATGGAACAAATTTAAAGTTTCGAAACATTGAAATTTCTGTGTCGCGATGTAAAATATTTTTAAATAAAAATATTATTAAAACATTCTGCTCCACGTTGTATTATCGAGCACATTTTTTAAAAAAAGTGAATGCTAAAGAACTGCGGATCCTTAATCTGGTTGTTATATATATATATATATATATATATATATATATATATATATATATATATATAGTGTGTGTGTGTGTGTGTGTGTGTGTGTGTGTATTATGATTCCCAGAAGTAAATTCAATTTCACCATCAAGATGCCAAAGCAAGTGGATGTCCTCAGAAGTCCGAGTAAGGAGAGATAGATTAAACATTTAATTTTATTTCTTGGTATTAATGCTCTTGATATTGAACATTTTATTTGCAAAGACAGCACGCCTTAAAAGCGTTATCTCTCAGTAAATACCCTGTGACCGTTTTTTTTTCGAGGCACAATCTTTGTTATATATATATATATATATATATATATAATTTCTTACGCAAATTTGATTTCTTTTATCTGCCTCCTGCTTTTTTAGTCATCTTTAATTTTTGTTTACAATTTATTTTTGTGAATACTTCAGCGACAGTGTTAAAGGTTCTTTACACCTGTTTCCCGCCTTTTTTCTTTCTTCTGGCTTTCTCAATCTCTTCTTATTTTTTCTGATTACTCATTGTTTCACTCCTCCCCAGCCATCTTAAAACCTTTTCTAACTCCTTCTCTTTCCTTATAAAAATCTTCGTTATGAAACGCTACCATTTTCTGCACCATTTATCTTTCTCTCTTTCTTTCTTTCTTTCTTTCTTTCTTTCTTTCTTTCTTTCTTTCTTCTCCGTCTTGTTTCCTCATTTCCCTTTTAAAGCGCTTTTGATAAACATTGCCACCAACAACTGAAAACGTGTTTAATCGCCCAATGAATTCCTCTACGTAAATTAATTTCTTTTCCTTGTCTCGAACGTTCTTGGTGCAATCTCTCTTATAGGACTCAGGTGCCTTTTTTCTTCAGTGCTCGGCTTAACCGACAACTAAATCATATAACTCCTCATTTACTTGCATGATTACCGCTTGTAGTAGATGAATAAAACACGAACCACAAACGCAAAGCGTGAAAGGCTTGCTCACCAGATGAGACTCCTGAAATTGAATGATCGCTTGCAACGCTCATATAGCTTCAAGTAAGGGTGAAATTGCTAAGATCTAAATCGGCGGCCAAATTGATGTGAATCGTACTCGTTATCAGTCGTTCATTCAAGAAAACTGAATATTAATTAACATGAGCAAATAAATTATTTTTTTAATGTCGTTTCAGTACGTAGGTTTCGTGTCTATCATCCTTTTATTTTATTGTCTGTTCAACTGCTACGCCATATTTGGAAAGATAGTGGAGTTGTTTTCTGCTGTCTTTTCCACAGTTGTAAATTCAGAATAGTCATTTTCCTAGACTGGCTGACACCCAAAGCAACAGATTAATTGATAAATTGATTTTTTTTTGTTTTTTGTTTGTTTGCTTTTTGTTTTTGTTTTGTTTTTTTTGTTTTTTTTTGTTGTTTTGTTTTACGGCGTATCAATCCGCTGTTGGTTATTTCAAATGGAAACATATTGTAAGAATATTTCTTTTTTTTTGTGAGTGAATATTACACGAAGGATATTTTGGCGAATAAAAACTATTTTCCAGCATCAATTCCTAAATTTAATCCCCACCTACAGACTCATACATTTGAGTATTTGAGTGTAACAAATGCAAAAGTGTTGGAGTGTAACGACCTATCCTCTTAACTTTGTAATATGCTATTTCTTTTTGCGGCTATATCGTTTTTACAAACCGGAAAAAAGTTCTGCAATTGAGAAATAGATATCAAGTACTATTAACAATATTTATTTACTATATGATTAACATAAATCGTGTTGCATAATAAAATCTAACACCTCTAAATAGATTATTATAAGTATTTCGAATAGAACGGATATTATAATCTTGTATGATACATTCGTCATATAAATACAAACTTTTATTGACATCAATTGGTTAATAGCAATATTACTGGGGAAACTGACTTGTATAAGAAGTGCTGATTCTAGTTTTATTAATTATTTAGAAGATTAATCGATAGTCGATTGAAAGAAAGAAAGAAAGAAAGAAAGAAAGAAAGAAAGAAAGAAAGAAAGAAAGAAAGAAAGAATTTAGAAGAAAAGGAAGGAAGGAAGGAAGGAAGGAAGGATTGGGTAAAAAGTCAACTGAAAGCAAAGTAAAAAGAAGGAAAGATTAGAATCTAGTAACATTGAAAGAAAGAAAGAATTAGACAGAAAAAGAAAGAAAGAAAGAAAGAAAGAAAGAAAGAAAGAAAGAATTTAGAAGCAAAGGAAAGAAGGAAGAAAGGAAGGCAGGAAGGATTGGGTAAAAAGTCAACTGAAAAGCAAAGGAAAAAGAAGGAAGATTAGAATCTAGTAACATTGAAAGAAAGAATTAGACAGAAAAAGAAAGAAAGAAAGAGAATTGCGTACAACGTCAACGCAAAAAGAAGGGGAAGTGAAGGAAAGAAATAATCTAGAAGCAAAGAAATAAAGAAATAACTGGTTAAAAAGTTAACTGAAAAGCAAAGGACAGACAGAATCTCGAAACACTGAAAGAAAGAAAGAAAGAAAGAAAGAAAGAAAGAAAGAAAGAAAGAAAGAAAGAAAGAAAGAGAGGACTAAAAAAGAAAAGAAGTGGACAGAAAGTCAAGAGAAAAAGAAAGAAAGAAAGAAAGAAAGAAAGAAAGAAACAAACAAACAAACAAACAAACAAACAAAGGATTTAGAAGCGATGAAAGAAAAAATGAAAGAAAGAATTGCGTAGAAAGTCAACAGAAAAGGAAGGGAAAAAGAAGGAAAGAAAGAATCTAGAATCAAAGAAAAAATGAATGAAAGAAAAAAGAAAGAAACAAACAAACAAATAAGTGGAAAGTCAACAGAAAAGAAAAGAAAGACAGAAAGATTTAGAAGTAAAGAAAAAAGAAAGAATTACAAAGAAAATGGAAAGAAAGAAAAACAAAGAAAGAAAGAATTGGATACAATTGCAAAGGTAAAAGAAAGAAATGTGGAAAGAAAGAAAGAAAAAAAGAAAGAAAGAAAGAAAGAGAACGAATAAAATAAAAGCACGGCAAGAAAGAAAGAAAGAAAGAAAGAGAACGAAGAAAATGAAAACACGGCAAGAAAGAAAGAAAGAAAGAAAGAAAGAAAGAAAGAAAGAAAGAAAGAGTACAATAGCAAAGGTAAAAGAAACAAAGAAACAAAGAAACAAAGAAAGAAACAGTTTAGAAGCAAAGAAATGAAAAATGAAAGAAAGAATTGCATAGAAAAAGTCAACAGAAAAGGAAGGAAAGAATGAATCTAGAATCGAAGGAAGAACGAATGAAAGAAAAAAGAAAAAAAAAACAAATGGATAGAAAGTTATCAGAAAAGAAAGAAAGACAGAAGTATTAGAAGTAAAGAAAGAAAGAAAGAATAAGGGGAAAGAATAAAAGAAAGAAACAGAAAAAAGTGACTTTTTAAACTACAGCATATATGAAGCGCACAAGCTAATGTTGATCAATAGAAGGGAAAATAAAATATTTTTCGCTCCATTTCTTGTAAATAAAGAGCTACCGTTGGTTACTGCAAACATGTCGTATTCCCCTATAAAATATTCAATAAATCGTACAGATCAATAATAGAGACTTAAAAGATTGTAATCTCCATTGTTAGTACCAAGTACTTAATGCTCGTTACACCAATTTTGTCATATCTGGTCTACAAAATGAATGACTTGTTGGTGCAGATCAATAAGGAAGAATATAAAGAGATTCCAGACTCCCTATTATTAATGCCGAGTACTTACGACTCATTATAACGACTTTCTCAAGATGTCTGCAGCCCCTTTGTTCCAGATAAGCTCAATGTTTTTTTTTTTTTTTTGTCGATGAGCTCGTATCTTTCCTCCCATGCTACCTCCACGGATTCGAATCACCCTCATTTCTTCTGTATTCTAAATTTAAAAAGAATGTTCAGTTTTTTTCCCCCCAAATCTTACTTTGTTGGACGCGTGGATGCTTCTCAGAACGCTAAAAATTGAACCTCTTCAACTCAAGGGCCAATAGTTAACAATCCCTCTTGTCCTCATAATCTTCATTACTTACTATTATGGAATCCTCCATAATTGCCTGTCACCCCCTACGGGAAGATGCACTCTTCCCCAAATTAAGCTTTAACCAATCATCACTTCACTTTTCCAAACTCAACTTCCCATTGGTTAAAATGACGCAAAAATGTAACAAGTTGAGACAAATCCTTTTTTCCCGCGCAGCTGTCTGGAGCCTATTTGAAAACCCAAATATCTATAAAAATAAAAAAAAAAGAATCGCCCGACTTAATTCAAGTCAGTCAGACACTGAGTTTCGAGAGATGCCAGTAGACCCCACGCGTGCCAATACACTGACTCAATAACACTACCAGCCTCCCATCAACTCAACAAAACTCACACTACTATTGCCGCGTGAAGAAACTAAAAAAGTGACATTATCACTGCGAAATAGTAATTGTACATTTAATCAACTTTAGCAATATCAGTCAAAGGCACACAACTCTTTATAACTTGAACCAAAACTTACAATTGTCACACACATACACACTATTATTTGAACTCACACAATTGACATTTAACCTTACAGAAATCAAACTGTTTTAATTTCACAAAGAAACTTAAACCATCAACATTCACATTCATTCGCCAAATCTTTGCATGGACACTCTTTGCAATCTTTTCTCACTTGCCACGTTTAATAAGCAACCTATTATCACTCTGTGTATTTCATATATATATATATATAAATTCATGTTATTGTTGAAATCTATAACTACGTTGTTTTTTTCCTTGATTTCTTCAAGTTGTATTGTCTTCATATGTTCGTTTAATTTATTTGTTGCATAATGTACACGCACATTTTAGGCCTTCACACAATTTCACCTTCTGACACATCTTACTTAGCATAAATTCTGCAACTATCACCTCTTTAACTCACATCACACCTTGTTGCATCCTTAAAGAAGATTACAAACAGACAAAGGTGGTACTCGAGTGATATGAATGGCAACACGCGCGTAGATGAAAGAAAGAGGGTTTATTGGCAAAGAGAAAACACTACTGAAAGACAGGGAAGCAATGATATCTTCTAACCGAGACTCTGCTCTTCGACATATCCTCGTCTGGGGATCCCCTCTCCCCGGGAGTAGAGGGTTTGACCAGCACATCTAGAGACCAATCTCCAACTCTATACTAATCTCCAAATAATTGACGAAGCAAGGTTATTTATCTTAACTCCCCGGGAGCAGTTTTTTTTTTAATGCGGGGCAAAACCGAGTCTGTAGGCTCGAGCAAAGATTTCCCGTAGGCACCATATACACGGGTTCGGGTAACTGTCTACCGCCCCAGACGAGACTCTGCCCTTCGGCATAGCCTGGTCTGGATTCCTCTCCGCCCGAAGGCAGAGAGTTCGACTAGCTTAGCTGGAGACGAATCTTCAACTAAATGCCGAAGCAAGGATATTTGCCAAAGGCCACGCGCGGTTAGATGTGGTACAAGGCTGAATTTAATGTGGGGTAGGCTCGAGTAAAAATTCCTCGTAGACACCGCAAAATATAGGGTCGGGTAGCTGTCGACCACCCCAAACGAGACTCTGCCCTTCGGCATAGCCTCGTCTGGGTTCGCGAAGGGAAAGAGTTCGACTAGCTTAGCTGGAAATGAATCTCCAATTAATTGCCGAAGCAAGGATATTCGCCAACCGTCCCACGCAGTTAGATGTGGCACAAGGTCGAATTTAACGTGGTGTATCCGAGCCCGTAGGCTCGGGCAAATATTCCTTGTAGAACTCGTATACACTCTGTTCGAATTGCAGAGTTCGACTACCTTAGCTGGAGACAAACCTCCAACTAATTGCCGAAGCAAGCCCGCCAGATATATCCTGTGCTTACTATATATATCTACTGATATAGTCAGTCTACATAGGCGATAGGAAGTGTGGGACATTCCATTACAACACACATTTATCATCATAGTCACTTTTAAATTAACACACTTCCTTGAGTGTCTCTCCAGCCATGTATTGACTAACCTTTATTATAAAAAACACATGCTGAAGCATTTCCGGGGTATATGAAATCTATTTTTTTTTTTTTGTCTACATTGCGAAGAAGACACTTTTTGCAGGGGTGAAGATAGATAGTTGTAAAAAAGGTATATTGAAGTTTTACTATCACAAATTCGTCGTAGAGATAAACATTCAAATAACAAAATAACATTTAAGTTCATAGCTCTCCACGAAAGCCTTGGCCTATTCTCGTTTATTATGTAGAGTATAATTAAGATATCTGGAAATAATTTAATGGAGTTATCAGATCTGCTGTTTATTTAGAGATTATTGATAAAAAAAGAATTTCCAATGGTCCTGAGCTGACATCTCGGCATCAGTCGCTTTCACACCGCCGTAACGTAGCTACCCTGTGTCTTTTCTATAAGTATTTTTATGGTAATTGTTCTGATAAGCTTTCTATTTAGTAGCTAGACTTTATAAATTTAAACATACTACCAGATCACATCATGTTACAGTTGAAATGGCGAGATGTAACCGCATGTTCTATGCTAACAGTCTTCTTTTCTCGCACTTCTCGCTGATGGATGTCTTCCGGCCTGTTGCATCTTTCATCTTCAAAAATGCAATGTCAATCATTATCTTCTGTCTTCTTAATTCCTGTTTATTTTTTTTTTATTTTTTTTTTTAATGTTCTCTCGCCTTAATAAGGTTTCCTTTTTTCTTTCATATTCTATCACACTCTATAACTTGCACGCAATTCTTTCAGTGGGGAAAGACGTTGTACTGGCCACTACTCCGTTTTTAAGCATGACCATCGCAAGATATCATAGTAAGACGTAGTTGTGCTTTGAACATGTGCAGCGCTTTTACCCAGACAAACTGTTAAAACCCATGACACAAAGTTGGCAGACAGTGACAGCTGAGGTTTGTGGGGTACATAATGGGGAAGGAAGGCTTGGAAAATCTGATACTCCCAGGACTGATAGAGGGCTAGAGGGACAGAGGAAAACAAAGCACAGACTACTTAATGTGCCTGAGTAAATAGACGACGGAACAGGGATTAGGAGAAATAAGAGAAAGACAAAGTTTATTAAGAGCTACAAAGGGCAGGAAATTGTGGAGAGCCATGATCGCCTACATCCTGGGAGAACACGGCACATAAAGAAGTTATGATTTTTTTAGTGTCACTTTTCTAACTTAACTAATTGTTGTAGAGAAGTTTCACAGTGGAGGCTTGTATTTCACTAAGTCGGTCCTAAAAGAGGTTCGACGTACAAAACGTTAAGAACTTGATATAATAGTTAATGACGCAGCAATCTAGTTGTGGTGGCTGATACTTTAATATCCGACTAACGACATCGACTGACTCACCAACTCACTGAGCGACTTTGCGACTATTACTACTACTACTTATTATAGGAGGGAGAGTCTATTAACTATAGAATATGTGTGTTCCACTATAACACTAATGCATTATTGGCCTTTTGAGTTCTCCTTGCAACTTTACTCTCCAGTGACCATGTTCTCGTTAGTGTGTGTTATAGTGAAACAGACTTCTTCTATAGTTAATAGATTCTCCCATCTATAATAAGTAGTAGTAGTAGTAGTAATAGTAACGAGTCAGTCGCGGAGTTGGTCAGTCAGTCGATGCCGGACGACCGTTAGTCGGATACTAAAGTATCAGCGACCACCACTAGATTTCTCTGCGTCATTACCTGTTATATCAAGTTCCTAATGTTTTGAACGTCGAACCCATTTTAGGACCGACTTAGTGAAATACAAGCCTCCACTGTGAAACTACTCTAAAACAATGTGTTACCACGATAAAAAAGCTCTCAACTATGCCTATATGCTTACTTTATACAAAGGCAATTGGAACTATGTAAGTTTTTCTCTCGGTGCAAACTGGTATATCACGATGCAGTTATTGATTTTTTTTTTAGTTATATTATGTCCTGGCTCAATGAAAGCATTATTGCAAGCGTCCGTTAGTCCTTACATATGATCCTCACTATGAGGTCATCTACCGTAAGAAAGGTTGGTTCTCTGTGTCGCACCGGGAATTTTTTCTCGGCTGAGACCATCCTTCAAATCTACAAATCAACCATTCGTCCTTGTATGGAATACTGATGCCATAAATGGTCTGGTGCCCCCGCTGTTCGTCTCGAGGTCCTCGACAAAATCCAGCGAAGGATATGTAATATTATATGTCCTGATCTGGCACCTCGTCTACAGTCACTTTCTCACAGACGAGCCGTAGCTTCCCTCAGTCATTTCTACAAGTATTTTTACGGTAACTGCTCCGACGAGCTACTTTCGCTGGTTCCCAAACTGCAAGAATTTAAGCGTACTACTAGGTTGGCATCTTGGTCCCACCCTTTCACTCTCGAAACAGTTAAATGTAGCCGTCTCTTCTACTCCAACAGCTTCTTATCTCGCACTTCCTGTCTGTGGAACTCCCTTCCTCTTATTTGCTTCCCTGATAGCTATAATCTTCAAATATTCAAATGTAATGTCAATCGACAGCTTCTGATGCCTTGATCTTCTTCCCCGTCCTTCTCTTTATTCTTTCTTCAAGCACCCGTCTTTACTCTTGCTCTCAATCTCTGTAATCCCTTGTCTGCTCGTGGCACTCCCGCCTTGCTTGGGGTGAAATGTTTAAAAAAAGGTACAAGATCGCAATCACCTGCATAAAAGGCTCATAAATGGTTAACAGATAATATTTTCTTCCCTGATATTCTCCTGGTTTTAAATAGATTTCCAAAGCTGCGATAGACAAAATGTTTGGGCCCATCATGTATTTCTGTAAATAACACCTTAAAATGACTTCTTTTTTTAAGTAAAAATTAAGATTTCGGTAACTACAGGGTATTTGCTTTTATCTTACAGGGTATTTGCTTTTATCTTTCAGTTTCTTCCAGGCTGCTCTTACTACCAAAAAGTTCGAATTTGGATTCGTCTGTCGACAATACATTCTGTTACATTATGAATATTTTGTATGAGAAGCTTTAGTTTTCAATATTAACCGCTCAGTAGACATTTTGAGATTATCAA